CACACACACACACACACACACACACACACACACACATACACACACTCATACCCCAACTCCAGCATCATTCATAAGAACATGAGATGCAGTTTTCTGCTGTTATTCTTGGGAATAATTTTCTGCCCAGATGGCGCTGCCATCGCCCTCTGGTGGCCAGAAGGGAACTAGGCTCTGCTTCTCAGGGTGACTTCAGCATTGAAGAACTCCAAACATGCCTTTGCCTCCTTCCTCTGAAGCTTCCCTACAAACCTTGAACCAATTTAGTACCAGGACTGAGGCAGATGAGAGGACCAGGCAAGGACCCAAGGGCACAAAAGCATCTCAGACTGTCTGGAGCAGCTAAAACTAGAGTTGTCTTTGTTTTCTGAAATGCATGCATGCTAAAGCATGGTTTGCAGCCCTGCAGGCTGGGTCTGGGTGGGTTCTCTGAGCACAGTGGGAAGCCTGTGTGTTTCTATTTAAGCTGCTGGAGGGTTTGAGAGCCTCCTAGATCTTTAAATGACTTCATAGGCATTCAAATGTGCTGCTTCCTGGGAGAAGCCCCTTAAAATAGACCACACAGGTCCTTCAGAGTCAGTCAGTCATCTTTAAGGAAGGGGCAAGTGGAAAAGACCCAGGTTCATGGAACACCACGGGGTGCAGGACCTGAATTACTTGGACAGAGAAGGCCTTAGAAATCACCAAATCTGGAGTTCTACACCTACCTGTCTTCTGGCGATGGCTGGGTCCACATGTTTCTTCTTAGGGGGAGAGGGTTTCCCTGGCAAAGATAAAAGTGTCGCTCACTCTACCCCTTCTTAGAGATTTGCTGTAGGTTTGCTGACTCTGGTTTTCCAGTTAACCTCTTCTGGTGTTACCATAAAACTCTCTCGGAATATAAGCCCGGAATCTCAAAAGTAATGCAGCTCTTGTCTTTTACTAGAAAGGACACTGAACCTCAGCGAGGTGGACATCTGTGCAAAGCCACCCAGCTAATTAGTGAGAGGTTTCCGGACTAGGACGCAGGGCTCTGTTCCCCCTCTGCCTGACTCTGGGGCATCTTCACGATGTGTCAGTCTCCTCCTGGAAGAATTAGCCAGCCCCACTGGAGAAGTCTGGGTAAGTCATTAGGAGGTCAGGCTGCTGGGTAGAACTTTCTATGCCCATATGCCAAAGATAACTTTCACTCTGTGGTATGATTTTCAGAGTTCTACAAAAGCCTTTTTAGCCAACTTTTTAAAATTTCCCCTTTCTTTTCCAGTCTTTAAAGCAAACCGCCCACCCATCCCCCAAGAAAACCCACTCCAGGCCTCTCTGAAAACCTGTTTCGTTTACCTACCAGGCCACCATAGTCAGATGAGGTTTTCTGGTTGCAAACAATATACAATAATAGTAGATCATCAGGATCATAAAAACTTTATGCTTGAATAAAGTCTTGGGTAACACAAAGACTCTTAAGGAAAGACCTGAAAAGGGGTTCAGAGAAGACTAGACCAAAGGCATGAGATGTCATAAGATTTCCAAATTCCTAGTAAGGATTTAAGGTGCGGACTAGTTTGGACCGGTCGTATGATCACTCTTCTCACTAGAGAAGACAAAAAGCGATTGGAACCGCTTCCATGTGAAGTCCAGTTGGCTGGCAGGGAGGAAGGAGCTCCTTTGTCAAAGGAACACAGATGATGCGGTGAGGTCGTTAGCTGAAAAGATGTCGGGCCCGGCCGGGCTGTGAAAAGGCAGCATGCTGGGAAAGCACCTCTTCCGTCTCACAGAACTCACTGCTCCGTTCCCACTCCTGTCCAGCCTTGCATTTGGCCCCTCCTAGTCTGTGGTCCTGCAGGAATTTGGACCCTAGATAAAGGTGTGGCTGTTGCTCTCCTCGGCCCCCACCTATATTACTTCATTGTTTAATTGCTTTGGCTCTGTGGATCTATAGTTTGTCCTGAAGATCCAAGAATCTAAGATGCAATTATGAACTTGGAGCTGCTCTACCAGCTCATCTGCCTCCATGCTCTCTCTCATGCCCACTCAGTACTTCCCCAAGAACATCCTTTCCTGCTCTTCTGTCTTCTACCTCTGGCCAAGGTTCAGCTTGTCTATCAGCCTCTCCAGATCAGTTTCTCCAGGAATCTTAGATGGTCCAGACTATTAGATTCTTGAGGATAGTGACCCTGCCTAATCGTTGCTTCCAACCATCTATTTAAAAGCGTCAAGCATACAAAGAGATATGCTGCATCAACTTTGGAATGCTCAGTGCCTACAGGTCTAAACAAACCTTTGGTGACTGCTAAATGACTGATTGTGTCAACGATCATCCCTATCAACTAGCTTATTCGGCATCCTGCGGCAGGTTTACTTATTGTGACCAGCATTACTTAATCTTTCAGGGGAAGGGGGAGACTCCATCTTTCAGTGCTCTTGCAGAGCGTATCCATTCTCCTCTCCTTCCATCCTGATATATTTACTTCTCTTCACTGCAACTAATCATTTGTGCTGGTGATGGTCCAATGGATTCCTCAGATGCATCCTCTGCCCACTGTCAGAGGTAGTTATACCTCCAGGAAGCTGACCTATCACCTGCACTTCCGCAGCTCTGGCCACATGCAGAGCTTGCTCAGAGAACTGGAGGAGAGAGCTTAGGCCTTCCTCTACAAGAGCTAGAGTCTGGCCTTAGCTGCCTTCTTCTACTAATGGGGGAAGTTTGTGTCAAGCATCCCTCTCCTCCATCTACCTGTCTCCTTGGTAACCACTATCATCCTCTATCTCCTATAGGAGGTAGGCGTTAGAAGTGGTTTTCTATCATTACTAAGCCTTGACTGCTTCCCATCTGTGGCTGATTCCTGAACCCTGCCTCCTCTTTCCCTACAGTCTCTCTACTGACTTTCTTCTGCTGCTTCTTCATGTTGAGTTAGCTGTTTACCACAAGGGACCCTGAAGCTGACAGTCCCTCACGGAGCTACCTACGGGTCTTTATAGAGGGTCAGGGAACAGGGACTCAGGGAGAAGATAAAGCCCCCCTACTTCATTCAGATGCTAGTCCATGTTAAATCTTACTAGAGGAGAGAATAATTCATGTATGTAGATTTTAGGTCATTTCTAGAGAGCAGAATTGAGGGTAAGGCTCTATCAGTTGGACCTGGAAGGACACTATCATTATTATTGTTGTTGTTGTTGTTGTTGTTGTTGTTGTTGTTGTTATTGTTATTATTATAACTATTATTATTATTATTTTATCACAGATGTTTTTCTCTTTCTCTCCAGAGAAAGAAAGAGTACTAAAGGTTTATAGCTACCTTGAATCAATCCAAAGACAGGATCTACGCTGCCTAGACAAATGTTTGGTGCATGAGTGTGTGATTTTAAAATAAACTCTCCTAGAGAAGAAGAAAGAGGACTGACTAAACCCCAGGCTCACCGGTAGCCGACAAGCATCACTCAGCATTCCACTCAGTAGTGTGGCTGTGACTCAGAACTTTCTTCTTCTCACGTGCTCTTACCTCCGTCACATTTGGGACTGACATGATCTCATCATTGTCCTTGCTCAGGATTTGTCAACTAGAACTGGAGAGAGCAATCCAGTCCCCTGCGGTTGTAAAGCTGGGATGTGTAAAAGCAGGAGCCAGTGGCCTCTTAAGGTGGTATAACAAAAACACTAAATTTACCCATTTGCCCAGTCTGAGTAGCAGTCATTTGAATTCATCAATGAAGAGAGTATTTATTGAGAACTCCTATTTTTCCAGAAGAACTGGGCATAGCTGTCCAAACTCCAGTTGAAAAGGAGACATGAAGATACACACACACACACACACACACAAAAAAAAAAAAAAAAAAATGTGGGATATAATAAATGCCGCTGGTGTTGTTCAGATAAGTGCTACACAAATCCCGAGAAGAAACCACTTGAAGCTGGATTGAAAGGCCTGAGGAAATACAGTCTGGCTTTGGAGGACGTATACGGAATGGTCCTGCCTTGAGGGAAGTAAAGGTAAAGCTGCAGGGAGAGATAGCGGAGGGTGTAAGAAAAGGGATTTGGGGACAATGGAAAGTTGGGGTGCTTTCTATTGGCCTGAAATTCAGTGTGGGGAAAGAGCTCTGGTATCTGCTGGGTATCTGACTGTGGCTTGCCTGTCTCTCCTTAGTAATGGGGGTTCTGTGCAAAGACAAGGGCCCTGCACTTGAGGGGTCACCTCGCCTGAAATCCCCAGATAGGTGTCCCCAGAGTGACTCTTCCCCAGACGGATCCTATTTCCCTAAAGTTGGGCATCAAGGGACAACCCAGCCGGGTGTAAGGTCACACCCTTGGTCCTCAAGGCCACGGTATCGATCTGAGAGCTGTGCAGAGATAAGTGCCGTCCCCAGCCTCTCAAAGACTGGATGATGATTTATCTCAAATCCAAACAAAGCAAGGTCTGTCACTTGGGAAATGGTGCTCCAAATTGAAGCGTATTAATCACCTAATTAACCAAAACACCTGTGCGTAAAACGTGTCCCACCCAGGGAACCATACTAAACAAAGCAGAGGATGTGCCGCACAGATTGATGGTAACATCTGCATCCTTTGCCGGCCTTCTTGGACAGTGGGGGCTCAATGCATCTCTAGCCAGCTGTTGGGCTTGACAGAGGCATCGGGGTGCAGCTTTGTTCAGCTAGCAGAAATGACAGCAGGCTCAGAGAATCTCCTCAGGTAACTTGGTTGGAAACATGGACGTCTCTGGATGTGCCGGGCCGGGCACAGCTCTGAATATTTTGCATACATTAACGGTCTAATCCTCATAACAGTCAACAAAATCCTCTGTTGTGGCTGAGGCTCACTTGTAGCTCCCAGACCCAATTTCTTCTTCCAGACACACAGGAAAACTACATTTCCCAGCCTGCTCTGAAGTTAGATTGAGGGTACATGCCTCATTCTGACCAATGGAATACGGACAGAAATGATAAATACCACTTTCAACTTATCTCTGAAAAATCTTGTATAAAAATCCAAGCCCTGTCCCATTGCCTGTTGGTTTGGATATACAGGAAGAATCCAGGAAAGTGCCCTGGGATATCCTGCAAAGATGGTGGAGATATATGAAGGAAGGTACTAGAATCACTGTGTAAAAAGGCAATGGCAATAAAAATAAAATAAAATAAAATAAAAACTTAAATCCTCCATTGAGGTTTGGAAGTTCAGTGTTACTCCATCAACACTAATTAATCCAGGTCAATACAGAACTGCAATTCTGACAGCTATATTCCCCAAATCCCATGGGACCAAATTTAAGGGGAGAGGGTTACCCTTACTTATAAGATAATCAATTTTTTTAAACCTCATTTCTTTTTTGTTGGTTTGTTTTTAATTTTTATGTGTATGAGTGATTTTTCAGCATGTATATATGTGTGTCACATGTGTGCCTGATGGCCACAAAGGCCAGAAAAGGGCATTGGATTCCATGGAATTGGAGTTACCAATGGTTGTGAGCTGCCATGCCGTTACTGGGATCCAGGTTATCTTCAGTAGACAGCCCTGATTGTCTTCCCTTTACCTATTTTGTATATATTTTGTGGGTTGTATAGGGGAGTGGGTATAGTGTGTACAGGTGGTATGCCTGTGAGCATGCACAAATATATGCAAGTGTGTGGAGGTCTGGGATCAATACCAGATGTCTTTCACTCTCCACCTTTATTTTTGAGACAGGGTCTCTCACCAAACCTGCACATCTAGGGTAGCTGCCCAGTGATCTTCAGGTGCTGTGGGATGGTCTGTATGTCAAATTGCTCTGATTGGTCAATAAATAAAACACTGATTGGCCAGTGGCCAGGCAGGAAGTATAGACGGGACTAACAGAGAGGAGAATTGAGAGAACAGGAAGGCAGAGGGAGACACTGCCAGCCACCGCCATGTCAAGAAGCATGTGAAGATGCCGGTAAGCCACGAGCCACGTGGCAAGGTATAGATTTATGGAAATGGGTTAATTTAAGCTATAAGAACAGTTAGCAAGAAGCCTGCCACAGCCATACAGTTTGTAAGCAATATAAGTCTCTGTGTTTACTTGGTCTGGTCTGAGTGGCTGTGGGACTGGCAGGTGATAGAGATTTGTCCTGACTGTGGGCAAGGCAGGAAAACTCTAGTTACATTCAGG